TCATCGTCATCCTCTCCATCCGAAGCAAGCCCCAGGTTGGAGAATATAGAGGTCGCTATCTTCTTATTCGGCAGAATTCCATGCTTCTCCAATAATTCCTCCACACCTGCTTCCCATCCTCCTCCCCCAGCACCCTCTCTAGCAGCCTCCCAATCAACCCTAACCCAGTTATGTACGAGTTCGCCGTCACGATAGACGAGGACCGTAGGGAGTACATCAGTGTCCACAGAGTCGTCATCTTCATCCGAATAGGGATCCGGCTCGTCCTGGTAGGGTGAAGGCGGCTCATCAAGGCCCAGTTCATCTTCATCGTCATCCTCCCTAAGCCTCCTAAGCGGTCGGTTAAATCCCCCTTTCGTCTTCAGAGGCTTTGAGCTCGGAGACGAAGCAAAACCCAACGCCTTTGCTCTACACCTCAGAAACTTTGTATCAGGATACACCCTTGCCAACTGTGCCAGTGTGTCATCCAAGACAAAACACCTGTCTAGGGAGGGTTCGTATAGATGCACGACGACCCAGACTCCCCTTGCCTCCTTTTCCACTGCCGAAACAAAGTTGTGGACGCCCACTTCGCGAAGGTGCCCGAAACGACCTTCTTTAGCACGGCCGAATACGTCTGTCCTCTCTCTATCCCCTCTCTCCTTTTCTCGTGTTTGACGTTGAGAGGAGAGTTCCCTTAGAATGAGAGGATCAATACCGGCCTTCTCGATATCCCCGCCTTGCTTGAGTATACTCCTCGCCCGTTCTCTCTCTTCCTCAAGGTAAGTCTTTCCTCCAAGATTCGCCTTTTCCATCTTCTTATTCATCTCCTCAATCTCCTTCCTCCTCTGCGCAGATTCCAGCGCACGAGATTCTTGCTCGTCACGAATGACGCCTTTGACACCTGTACGACCTGGACCCATGCCTATACTCGGATTGGTATTGGGGTTTCCGCTGGCGGGGAGGTTGGTGTCGGAAGCGAGCTTGTTTTTGAGCTCTTCGTCGTGCCAGCCCTTGTCTTCTTCGTCATTGTTGGAGTGGTCAGAGTCGTGTGGGGAGGATGGACGGGAGTTTGAGGAGGAGGGGTTGAAGAGTTCGCCGGAGAGGACTAGGGCTTCGATGTTGTCTGATAACTAGATGCATTTTTAGTTGGTTTTGAAATGACTTTTGAAAGAGGCTTACCATCGTAGCTCAGAAAGATAGAAAAAGTAGAGAAAATAGGAAAATGAAACGAAAAACGATGTTGAAAGAGTTTCGCCGTCGGTCGCGTGACGAAATAACGAAGAAACGTGGTCAACACCCGAGATCTCCGAAATTATTCTTTCCTTTTCGACAACGGCGACTATGAATGAACAGAGATAGAGATAGAGAGAGGACAGAGAGGAGGTACGCCTACATTGTGCCTGGATAATGTCTCAGCATACACTACCCCTGGACTTGCCCTGGTACCTGGTAGTCAACAATCGGAAATTTTTTGGCAAGGGGCGCACTCGACGTGTTTACGTTTCTGCAGCTCTTACGGATTCTTGCTAACGAAAGAACTACCGAGGTTACCGAACACCCGAGGATGTACTCGAACGTTCGGCGGCCGCTGTCCTGTATGCTCATTTACGTTCTGGTTCGCTCTGGTCTGCTTGTGCCATTCGCATCATTTTACATTGGCCGCCTGGCGAAATGGCATCGCGTCTGACTACGATTTAGGTGTTATAATTCGGGATCAGGAGATTGCAGGTTCGACCCCTGCGGTGGTCATCAATACGATTAGAGTGGCATATTTTTATCCCCCAAGTCTATAACCGCCCTTCCACGGATTTATGAATTGACCTCAATTTCAGCTTCACGGACGTTCCGAAAAGATGTAATTCCGTGATACCTTGAGAAAGTATGAAGTCTCGGCTCTTTCTGCTTCTACTCTCAATGGTCCAAGCCGCGTAGTAAATCAGGCAACATACCAATTACAAACAATTGGGATTCAATATGGTTTACGTCTGATTCTGCGCAACCTACTGTTCTTTAGCCGCCTGGGAAAGTCACGATGCATGCAGGCCCCACCCCTGCCAGTGTGATAGTCATTGAGTGCTGCGCTATCTACGATTTTCTGGGGCTGAATTAACTTATTTATCGAACTCGATTCTAGAGGGTCCATTGTAAGTACTTGACTTTATGACACTTTCTTGAATCACTGCCGGATTCTATTTGCATGGGCGCTTGGTGCAAAAGCACGATATGATCCTTTTTGTTTGAATTTGAAGCGGATCCTGTTCCGCACATTCGTCGCCTTCAAAAACTCCAATTCTCTTTGGAGCATCATTGGTTTGATCTACCTTCTATGCTCGTTATGCTTTAGTCCAAGCTATGAACCATTTACATACTTCAATGCTTTGCGGCGAGCTACAGTGATAGATAATCGGGATTCTCCCGCTCAAGAATTATTACTCGTCGGACGTACGTGGGGTCATCTCAAACACCTCGAGTTTTCGGGCGGTGTGGTGATTTATTTAAACTTAATTTCAAGTATATTAATAGTTCCAACCGTGACGCTGCTTTGTAAAGATCCTTATCCCTACTCCATGCAGGATTCTGGACTCACTGGCAACGTTAACTGCTCTCCAACGTTCGAGTGGAGAATCAGCGGGAGACCTGCAGCAACCAGTGCGTACTTACCAGTGGGCGGCGTGCGACCATGTAGAAAATACGCAACCTCGTTGTTACTAGATTTTATAAAAGCCAAACTCCCTCACAAAAATTAGACATCCAAATTCTTCTCAAACTCATCCATCATGCGTGCTGTATCGTCCATCGTCACTATCATCGCTGCTCTCTTTATTGCCTCCGCTGCAGGTAGCGCTGTCCCCGGGTAAATCTAGACCTCTGAGTCTCTGATTTTCTGGTAATAATGATATAATAATCAAATCAACTCGTTGTAGTGGTATAAGCAACCTCGAAGCTCGTCAATGCCCCTGCTCCGGTGGATGTAACCCCGGAGTCTGCTGTTCTCTTCGATGTGGATGTGGGGATCCTTCTGATACTACCTGTGTTTGATCTCCTGGCTTTGGGGCCGAGGTGATTTAATCAGTGAGGAGGATCAAATTGTGGGACCGGTAAGTGATGTGCCATCGATCAGAAAAGAAGACAGTCTGGATTTATAATTATTGTGTTACAGACCCATTGGATGAGAAATATATTACTTTACTAGTTGGTTAAATATCTCGTCTTTTGATTTGGTTTTCTTGTATAAATAGATACTTTGAAATGGAGTTCAGCTGAAACTGGCCTTTTCGTCGACTCATCTTTGTTCAATATAGCATTTTGAACTGAGTATCAATGACGTATCAGAAACTCCAGTTTCCGCTGGGACGCATAGAGTGTGTTGCTAAATTAATCCGAAGACTGCGGTTTCTATCTTAGTTCTTTGTGTTGGGACTGGCTGCTATGCAACTAGTGATTTGGAATTGAGCGATGAAAATCAAAGTTCCCCCACACCCCAAGCTTGTTGCAACAAATGCTGCTTGTGGAGCCATTGTTCATCGCCCGTTGTAAGTTATACTATGATGATCATAAGTTGTCTATTAATGGCGAATATGCTACTAGTACCGGGCAACCTAAATAAAAGTTGAAATAGCTTTAGATCACAAAATCTATCATGCTGCTGAATGATACGAGTCGAGTCGAGTTCGTTGATGGTCTCGATGTGCTTCTAAGCCCACGCATACCCCAAAGCAAAAGAAAAAACTTTGAGCATTCGGTCCTTTGTCAAGTCTCTAGTCTGAAAACTTGGAACCGTTTTACTATTCAGCATTCGAACCCCCTGTAGATCACGTATAATACCTACTTATCTGCCTAAATTTACCCCAATCATCGACGGGAGACCTACATCAACTGCGACAACAGTGTGGGATATCTCTCGATTGAGAAATCACAGGCATGATCTTTGGGCGTCCGTTCGCAGCATAAAAGCTCGACAATAAATAATCGCAGACACACAACCAACCGACCGACCGACCAACTGTTCCAGTCAAAGCTAAGCTAGTCTTAGTATATTCGAATCATGCGCGCCGTATCCTTTGTCGCCGTCATCGCTGCTTTCTTCATCGCCTCGACTGTAGGTAGTGCTGTCCCTGGGTACGTTCGAACCAAACTATGGCTCGATGAGCTAATATTTACCAACTTGAATTTGCATTACTCAACAGTGGATTTAGCAATCTCGAAGCTCGCCAAGGTTGCCCGTGCTCTGGAGGATGCAACCCCGGTGTCTGCTGTGCTCTTCGATGTGGATGTGGGGATCCTTCCGACACGACTTGTATCCCCTCTGCTTGAGGTGCTAATACCAATGAAGAGTTTTACAAGGAGAATGGTAAGTATCATGACAAACAGTTGATTGTTCGAGTTCAAAAATAATACTGATGAAATAATCGATCACAGAATTATCAGACGAGAACTTGGTCACTTGGTTTGTATCCTTGTATTGCCACTCCCTAAATGTGTAAAGTAAATATTCAGTCTGAAATGGAACTGAACGTCCAGACTCAAATTGAGAGTAAATGAAAACTCGCGTTGCGGTAGGTATAGCTTCGGGAGTAGAGAACGATCATCAAGTTAGGGTACAATTAAAATTTGTTCCTATCCGACAACGTCGAAACTATTACTCTTATTATATTTAGAGAACAGTCGCAGTGGCGTTTGACGATCCGGGAGAAAATCAATTTACTACTAACCCACCTCAAAAATTCGGAGCCAACGTAAAGTCTTTAGCTTGAAACATTTACTTACAGTGCCCAGCGGTGATAGCGCTTTGGGTGACGAAATTGCTAATCTCGTCTAGATCCATAACGAAACTCGAAATCTCAGCTATATTTCAATTCTCAAACAAAAGTTACATTGCACAAAATTTATAATTTCCTAATACTTCTGAGTGACCAGGCGATAGTGATCCTAATCCGTCTCTAACATGAGCAGTGTAACAACAGTCATAATAGCAATGACCGACCCTTAGGTGCAAACCGCGTTCTTTGGGCCTTCTGTCCTGCAACAAGTTGGGCAACCACAGGGTGCAAACAAGACAAATTCCTGTCCATTGCATTGGAAGATGTATGCATTACCACCGTTGACACTGGCGGTGTTGGCGCATCCTACGTCACCTGCATACACATAAATTTATTAACGACTCAGACTAAAAAGTAGCAGAAACGACATACCGGCTTCATCAGCTGGGCACGATTCACCCACGTCTTGTGCAACTGCTCCCATGAGGAGGGAGAATCCGAGAACAAAGGCAGTGAAGAATCGCATACTGAGTTGATTCTGAGGTAGCACTGATGATTTGGTCGATGCTGGTGGAAAGCTGCGAAAAATTCAAGGCCTTTTTATACCCATATCCACAAGAGACTCATGTAATTACTATAAATAAATTCGTCTAGCGCGGCCGCGCCCAACTTCTGGCACAAGTTGAATACAGGAAGGGATCTCTATCAGTGATAGACCCTTCAAATTCCTGCGAGGTGGAGTATTCTGAGAAACGTTTGGCACTAAGATCTACTCATAACAACATGGTTTAAGAATCGCAAAAAATAGAATCTACATATTTCTTGATACATTACTGCACTTTTCAATTCAGCTCTACAGCTAGACTACCTATGGAGTATTGTAGTGGTAAGATGAATTAAAATCGGCACTGATCGAATAACGATAAAGTATCCTTTTTGCCGTCCCCATGTGAGCTCAGACCGCTAGTCTTGTGAACCAGATTAATGACGACAATACACACTGAGTTTGCAGTGTATCAGCTTTGTACCAAAGGATATCCAGGCAACTTCTGAACAGACATGACAAGATCTTTAGGTGGCAAATATTTGATCTATACTAAGTGTAGTAGCTCTGGAATCACAAATAGTTGACGTATCTGTTCCAAAACTTTTGGACAAAAAGAACTAGAATAAATGGGTCCATAGAGTAGATGAGGCTGTCCAAAATCCGCATCTTCAGAAAAGGCGGATTGAGCTCGAGTCATGAGTCGGATCCCATATCACTGTCCGTATTACAGATCCTTCGATAAAGGTAGTTCGAACGTCGCATCAAATCAATCAGATTCAATGCTACTATTTCAAGTCCGAGTCGAACATGAATGGGCCCTACCAAAGTCAATTGCATCCCGAAGCCCGGTATGATTTTACTTCATGTTCCAAAGAATCAAGGCGCCACTCCATCTCTCGCATAGCAGAATGCATTCGAGAGAATCGAGGGAACACTCGGACCACATTCCTCCATCTGGCTTGTAAATCCAAATAATCTTCCTCATCATCCACATGATCAGCATTTATATGACAGTCAAGCCTACACTCGGCATCACAAATTTGACCTAATAACTCGGCAAAGTCGTATTCATCCCCTGGAATAAAGGCACAACCATTACCGAGGTCCAGACACCTTAAGCTCGTCATTTTGGCATCGGCCCCTCGCACACATATGGGAAGAGAAGAAGTGCTGAAGCTGGGAGTTTGAACTGAAGGGACATTGATGTGCAAACCGAGGTGTCGTAGGTTGGGACACATGCGTGTAAGGATGAAGGCTGCCCACAGGCTGAGCTTCTTATCAGTGGGTCGCTTGATGTGAGGATTTGGATTAAGGTCCAGGTTCTCGATCTGAGGCCATGCTACTGCTATTTTCTGAATTTCATGATCATCTATTTCCAGGAGATAGGGAGTCTCCAACCTGAAACAAGTGATTTGTGGGCATATGAGGATGTCCTCTATACT